CGCTACACATCTACTGATAAACCTGACATGGAAGAAATGAATGCTTTTTTCTCATCATTGAAATTGCCCACCATCTCCAATGAACAAAGAGAAAAATTGGATTCTCCTATCACTTTGGAAGAAATTAAAGCTATGATCTTATCTATGAAACCAGGGAAATCGCCGGGCTGGATGGCTTTCCAATTGAATATTATAGAAAATATATTGACACCATAGCCCCAGTATTGCATGATGTATTTAGAGAAGCCTTTGAATCAGGCTTTTTACCTGGTACTTTCAATGAAGCTCTGATATCACTTATTCCAAAAAAAGACAGAGATGTTTCAGATCCATCTAACTTCAGGCCCATTAGTCTCATAGGAGTAGACTGCAAAATATTAACAAAAATATTAGCTTCACGGTTAGAAAAAGTACTTCCGGATATCATAAATGAAGACCAGGTAGGCTTTATTAAGAACAGGTCTTCAATCGACAATATGCGAAGGCTTACTCAACTAATACATTTGAATTACTCTAATCCAATCCCTGTTGCGGCGTTCTTTTTAGATGCTGAGAAAGCCTTCGACCGCGTGGAATGGGGGTTTCTTAAAACAACACTTCTGAAATTTGGATTTGGGTTTGGGTTCTGCAAATGGGTGGAAATCTTATGTTCTAAACCAAAAGCAGTAATTATGACAAATGGTCGTCTAAATTTTTTCATCTTTCCAGAGGGACAAGACAAGGCTGTGCCTTGTCCCCATTGCTTTTCACGCTGGTTGTGGAACCATTAGCAGTAGCAATAAGAGTCAACCCAAGAATTGAAGGAATTCATGCAGGAGGAAAAGAGCACAAGTTGCTTATGTATGCGGATGACATCTTAGCTATTATAGCAGATCCAATCGTTTCCGTTCCAGCTCTCTTACAGTGTGTTGAATCATATTCAAAACTTTCAGGATACAAGATTAACTGGAACGAATCTGAGTGTATGCCCATATCCCAAACATGTCACTCAATTGATATTACACCATTTAACTTTAAGTGGGTCCCCTCTGGTATGAAATATCTGGGTATATGACTTCACTCGAACCTAGAGGAAATAATGCTACTGAATATGGAACCACTTCTTCAGAAGATAAAAAACTAATCTTAATAAATGGGCAAAATTGAAACTCTCTTTATGGTGAAAGGTGAATAAATGGTGATAGCCCCATTATTCAATTATGTGTCCATAATGGTGCCGGTTGACATCCCATCTCAGGTTTACAAACAGTATGAGACTTATGTTAAGGACTTCCTTTGGGACAAGAAGAAACCCAGAATTAGCATTAAGAAAATGTGGTGTGCAAGGGATGTAGGGGGCATGGCCCTCCCTAATGTAAGACTATATAATTTCACATTTGAAATGTCTAGGTTGTCCAAATATTTTGAAAAGGGAGAAACAAAGCTGAGCTGGATGAATATTGAAGAAGAATTAGTGAACCCTTTCAGACCAATAGATATCCTTTCCCATGGTAAAACGGATAATAAAAAACCTCTTCCCACAAATCCGATATTAGCACATTCTAAATTAGTATGGAAGGAGATGCATAAAATATGTAAGATGTCACATTCAAAACAATTGTACTCCTCATTGTGGTTTAATCCATCCATCTGTGTTGGAAGGAAAACTGTTTATTGGGAACAATGGCTTGTGAAGGGAATACGTATTGTGGATGATTTGTATACAGACGAGGTTTTTATGTCTTTTTCAGATGTCATGCTGAAATACAATACAAAAAAAGGATAGTTTCTGGAAATATCTACAAATTAGAGACGGTATTACTAAAGACAAATTCATACATAAAGATAATCCAATACAGGACTTTATGGGCTCAAATAGAATCAAATATAAGACATCCACATTTTACAAATTGTTTAATAGTATGCAAAAAGATGTATGTAAAAGTCTGGGGATTGTCTGGCAGAGGGACCTTGGCTGCATTTTTAGTGATGAAGAATGGATGAAAATACTGTCAAATAATGGGAAATACATTAAAGAATCGAGAGGGAAATTTACTCAATATGAGATGGTACATAGATTTTATTTCACCCCATCCAGGCTTCAAAGAATGGGTCTGCTCCCCAATAACCTATGTTGGAAATGCAAAACCGAATCAGGAACATTTATACATGCAATCTGGGAATGTACATTAATTTCCCCATTCTGGAAAACAGTATTACAACACATTGGAAAGTGGATAGGTGTGGGGATACCTATGTCACCAAGACTCTGCTTACTGGGGGATCAAACAGTGATTCCTAATATGTCAAAACACCAACATATTGTGGTGCAGGTGGGGACGGTCACGGCTGCCAGAATAATTCTCAGACTGGAAATCTCCAACCATTCCGAATGTTAGAAGCTGGTTGGAATTAATGTTGGATGGAAATAGTGTCATATGAACAAATGCTGGCTAAGCTAAATGATGATATAGAAAACTTTAAGCAATCCTGGAACTGTTTCCTCTCTTACAATACTGGGACAAGTAAACTTCTATGATGACCTGCTGTTTTGGAAAATACTGATAGTGACTATTTCTGTTTACTGTGGTTGTTTCTGTTAACATCAAGGTTATTTAACCTTTTGTGGAACTTTTATTGATTTGATATGCGCTGACCTGGTTGTTTTGTTTTGCTTTGTTTTATTTGTGGTTTTTGTTTTGTGAGGGTGTGGGGAGGGTCGAGAGGGGTTATATACATGTTCTGAAACAATAAAAACTTTAATAACAAAAAAAAACATTAAACTGATAGCCCTTCAAAATATAAGTGAATGTTAAAATACTGATGGTAGATATGTGACGTCACAGGACGGAACAAGTTCAAGTTGTGTTTATTTGTCACATGCAAGGTTAACACAAGGTCAACAGTACAATGAAATGCTTAGGATGAGAAGAACCGAATTGACTCACTAAAAAAAAAATCAAAGCACAAACAAGAAATACTAAAAGCATGCATTAAGTGTACACAAAAATAAAGTACCAAAAAGTGAAAAAGTAATTAAACTATTTACAATGTCCTAAAGAGAGACATTGAGCAACAGCATGGTAGAATATAACGGTGCAGCAGGATGAATTTGAATGAATAAGTATTACGAGGTAGCGATATAAGCTAAAAAGCACATAATATATACATATACATACAGGTCCTTCTCAAAAAATTAGCATATTGTGATAAAGGTCATTA